ATCCTTTTTATCAATAATTTGACGGAGGGTTTGTCAATAAATTTGACATTAAAATTGAAAATATGGAGCAATAAAGATGACAATTATATATATTAATGGGGGAATATCATATGATCAAGAGGTGAGGGCTACATGTTTGTTGCCTCTGCAGCCACTTCAGCTCTTACAATACAAGTTTACCATAGCTGGATTCACCATTAATTACCAGCAATATATAATTTATATATGAAGTTCCGAAAGACAAACAGATAAACAGAAAAATAAATATTCTACCAAAAAAAAGAGAAAAATAAATATATATAAATGTTAAGGCACACACTTTCGACTTGTGGTTACTTTCCTACCTAGTACCATTTGTTTTACCCACTCTTACTTTTACTTTACCCCCACCACTCCGAATTTTGCCGGGAAAATAATGGAAAAAAAGAAGGGCGGGAGACACAAACGTGGAAGAAAAAAAGGGGTTGTAAAGAAGGGAAGTTCAATTCAACAGACTCAGACGCGGAAATTCTTTCCGGTGAAGGTTTGACCGAACTGCCAATTAGCGGGTGCTACGTTCATGGAGGTGGAGGTGCGTCGGTCGCTGCCGGTGACCCTAAATGAGAGGGCTTGGCCCACCAAGACGGCGTTGGACTGCCAGTTTTGTCCCCAGTTGCGGTTCATGCTCAGCCAAGCCGTGTTGGTGCCCTTTATGCTCACGCGCAGGATATCACCAGCACCGCCGACGTTGGTGACCAGAACCAAGTTGAAGTAACGGAAACCGTTGACGGTGAATCTGATCCCGCCCAGCTTCCTGCACGGTACCCTGTAAAAAAAATAAAAAATTATTTTGCAACCCAAGGAAAAAGAAAAAAACTAAAAGGGTATTTTTTTTTGTTTTGAAAATAATTATTAATTTTAATTAAATTAAATATTTTAAATTATAAATATTAATAATTATTAATTACTAAATATTTATCAGTTATTTTTAAAAAATTAATTTAAACAACATATAAGAGGTTTTAACTTTTTTTAATTTGAATAACAACTATATAATAAATTTGATAAAATTAAAATTTATATTAAAATGTGGTGATTTTTCCTTTTCCTTTTTTCTGCAATCTAAACTCTACAGTATTGCAGAACAATAATTTTTGTGAAATTACTAACTGACCCTTACAGTTAATCTTCAGTAAAGTGTGGGGCCCTTTCAACATTAATGAGGGACGGAACACTCGCGTGTTCCAACGTGGGACCCTGAAATTCCGGAATAAGTTTTGGCAAGTTTAATTACAAAAAGACACAGAAGCTTTAAGGCGCTAAGAATGGATATAGGCGAGGATATAATGGTCAATTGCCGACAGATGCCTAAAATCCGTTGGGTAAACGACGACGTCTGGTGTGGACGGATCCTCATTCCTCAACGGACGCTGAGGAAATCAGATGGCATTTAGTGATGCTCTTGAGGTTTTGTTTCCGTCCCAAGAAAGCGAAATTTAGTTAATTCAATTTATTAACTAGGAGTAAAAATAAACAGAAAATAGAATCCAAAATTTCCCATGTTTGGTTCCGAAGAAAAAAAAAAAAAAAGCCAGAAATTCACATTTCACAGGGCCTAGAGTCAACCGAATGCCAAGGGCATTTTCCTATTCTACCCACATTTACTTACCATCCAAACATCAAAATTTAGGAAAACAAAATGAACAACAAAAAAAATTCGGTAGTAATAAATGAGGGAGAAGTCAGTACCGGCGGTAAGAAACGGGGACAATTCCGGCGCGGTACTCGGCGATCTTGAGGAACATGGGCATGGCGAGGTCGAAGTGGGGGCGGGGAGGGTTGCACCAGCCGCCATTGTCACTGGGGAGAGCGTAGTTAGGGGGGCAGAAATTGGTACCCGTAATGAAGATGGAGGGGTTGCCTGGGAGGCACCATCTGGGGTCATCTGTGCACTTAATCTCGAAGCATGCGCCGCAACTGAGACCATCGTTGAAAAGAGCCGTGCTCAGCGCCGCCGTGTTCACGCCGTAACCTTGGCTGTACAGATTACCATACCCACAAGCACCACCTGTAACAGAGAAAAGACGGCTAAGAGATTTTTTTTTTTTTTCCATTTCTCTAACTGTAAATTGAAGAATTAGAAGTGGGATTTGCTAAAAAATGCATACGAAAAAGACACCAAAAAAGCCTCATTGTAAAGATTACGACAATTGAAGCCATACCCATGGTTCCAGAGGCGTCACTGCCGCCGTAGAAAGTAGCATGGGCGCTCTGCCACGGGCTACCAGTATAAACCCCAGCGATTCTAGCATCCACAGTTGCAAAGAACGATGGCACTAAAGCAAAGAAGAGAAGAGTGAACAAAGACGCCATTGTTTGTATTTGGGAGAGAATGAGAGAGGAGAGAGGACTCAGGGGATCGAGGGAGCAGTGGGTGTAAGCTTAGCGGCGAATGCAAAGTGGGAATGAGGGGCTGCTTATGTAGAGGGGTGTGGGGCTGAT